TAACTTTCACCTGAGAGAAACTATTTATATTACATAATGGTTCCCTACAAGTTTCAAGCACTGGAAGGGGTTATGGTGGTCTGGTATAAACTTTTATTCTTTGGATGCGTGCATGTGACTGCTTCTTGCTTCTGTTCTCTTTTAATAGGAATAGTGGTCTTACCTTTTCTGATCGTCATGAGTAATTTATATGCAGGGCAGTGGCCTTGAAAGACATTTTCCTTACCCTCATTATGTCCCTCCTCCAACGCCCAATGATGTAGCTGAGAAATACCATTCTTGCCAGCCTGATGGGAGAAATTTGAACACTCCTGTGGCACCGCTGATGCAACGAAAGAAGGTAGGTGAAGAAGATGATTTTACAGTTCCTGTTTTTGTTCATTCCGGGAAGGGTCAAGGTCAGACTAAAATGCAGACCAGTGCTGCTCAGGAAAAACTTGCTTCCCTCTGCCCTAATTATTTGGGTCATTCATCGAGATTCCAAAATGCTGGTGATAATGATCATTTTGGCTCCACAGGTCTCAATCTGAGACGAGACACAAGTAACCAGAGTGAAGATAACCTAGAAGTGTGTGTCTCAAGTACTGATCATATAGCAAGACATTCCACAAATTTGCAAACCAGAGAAAAGAATGACATGCCTGAAGAAGGCAATGCATCTCAAAATCAGCAATATCAAAATAACCTTGTGTCTAATTTTACCAGATTACATGAAAATGATACTTGTTTGCAACAAGAGACTTCGGCTAGGTTGCAATCAAATCACAGTGAACATGGTGACCATGTTCCTGAGTCGAGGAGGCAAAAGGAGAAAATAAACATTTTTCAGCCTGGAAATGACTCTCATTTGAGGAAGGATTGTAGCAGTCCCAATGAACCTGAAATTGACAGTGAATGTTTTGGAGACAAGACTTGTGGGTCACTGCAATTCAGAAATGGAGACAAAAGCAACGATGCCTCTGAGACCTCCATGGTGGATTCTATATCAGTGTTGGATATTTCTCCAGATGATGTTGTGGGAATTATTGGTCAGAAACATTTCTGGAAAGCAAGAAGAGCAATAGCCAAGTAAGTCTTCTTGCTCATTTACTGCTACTCAAGATTTTTTCGTCATGGAAAATTCATATTTTAGGTTTGCACAGAAAGGTTTTGCTAAATGTGGTGATTGATAGCATATTCTTATATAATGGATGAAATTATTACAGGTTTTGACTTTGTAAAATTCTTGCAGTGTCATATTTTAAAAAAATGAGAACATGGAAAAATCTCATCTTGTTTTCTGTGGCCTCTCATTCCCTTTTGAGTATCTCTCATGTCAATGGGAAAGCATGAAAATATACCCTACAGACATAGCTGATTTCTTTGTCTCTACTATAGATTTTAGCGAGTTTGATTTTGATGCTCTTTCATTTTTGTGTTCTCTTAATTTGAACAATCTTTCATAAATCATATTTTTTAAAAATGAAACATGGAAAAAGCTCATCTTGTTGTCTTGGCCTTGCATTCCCCTTTTGAGTATGTCTCATGTCAAAGGGAAACACAAAAATATACTCTACAGGCATAGCAGATATCTTTGGCTCTATTATAGATTTTAGTGAGTTTGATTTTGATGCTCTTGCATTTTTATTGTGTTATCTTAATTTGAAACATGAGAGTATGTATATTCTTTCAGAATTTATGTTCATTTTTTTTTTGTTCTTCTAAAAATGGCTTTTTCTCAGAACACTAAAGTAATTTTGCTATAGTTCCAATGTTATTTGTGCCTATATATCTGTAAAAATCGCCTCTGTTCTTGGATTAGGGCAGCCTGTAATTATAGTTGTTGATTTAAGTTTACTGTAGAATTTTGGGGTTTTCCTGATAGGATTGGAAAACGTAAGGTGATGTTATTTTTCCATGGGGGAAGAGAATGATAAGTGGAATCCAGGAAGCTTCTACATTTTGTTGGTCTTGGGATTAGTTTTCTTCTTATTTAAAAAATGTAGATCTATTGTTGAAATACTACATGGAATACTGACTTTAGGAACATGGAATGATTCTTTGACTTTGAACTGAAGACTTGTAAACGTGGCTATGGTCAAGGGAGAACTCACTAGTGTGGAATCCCAGGATCTCTTCCAATCTCACATGTTTATGTGTGCAAAGGCCCTCGATAGCATTTTAATGGCGGATCATCTGACAGCAGTGAGATGGACAATACTAATTTGAGGTACTTTGTCAATGTGCCCCCGAGACTGGATCATCTCACAAATGCGCTTTTGCTTCTGCTTTTGGGATACATTCCTTTCTTGGTTTGGTGTTGCTCAATTTTCCCTGCAACTTTTTCTTTTCCATTTGTGGTACTTGAGGGCTTGGTGCAAGAAGGCAACAAGGAGTGGTAGATGATCCCAGATGATATTGCTGGGTGAGTCATGGAAGAGAGAAACTGGAGAATAACTGCTAGTGTGGGATTGTTGGTGGACTGGGTGGTGAATATAATTGTTTTGTGTTTGGTGTTTTAAGTCGGAAGATTTATGGGGCTGGGATTCCTCTTGTTTGTGCCGATCTTTTTCGTGATTTTCCTGATGTACAATTTGCACATGTACTCATTTTTTTAAAACTAAACTGGTTCTATATCTTTAAATTTAAAACAGAGTTGTAAATTATGTACTTGATGTAACTGCAAAGCTGGCTTGAGCTCGTCTATTTTCTGGACTGAATATGTTTTGAGTATGCAACTATGCTTAAGAATTTATTTACCAGAAAAATGAAGAGCTGAAAACATGTATTATTCTGAACCAAAATGTTAGTTCAGTGTGTGAAGCTTCAACATTTACATTTGGATGGCTCAGTGACTGTATTCTAGTTTTGAATTCTGTGTTGTTTCTTTCTCTTCCTCACCCTTCCCCTCCCCTTTTGTGTGTATTTCTTTTCCCATGACATTATCTTCTTGTGTTCAGTAGAATAATATGCCATTGTGGTTCTATTTGTATAGTAGTGCATAGTGATATGATTTTGCCAAGTGTTTGTAACTATAGTTGTAGAAGGCTTCAAAGTTTTGGTGGCCTCTGGTAAATAGGCATCATGGTTTTTTAGACAAAAACTAACCACTCAACTAATAAATCAAACATTAGATTTTTCATTTCCTGCAGAAAATGACCTAGGTGAACTTTTTAAAATTTTATTTGAACCAAGTGCTTGCCTGGTTTCAATTTCTGGTCTGCATTGAGGTCTTTAAAGAATAATGCGACGTTGTGCCTGGTTGTGAACAAATGTTGAGGCAAGATGATTCTGCTGTTCCTTCTATGTGCTTATCAGAACATGTTACAAACTCTTGTGGCTTTTTTCTCCTTGATCCAACTCCTGTTACTTTCTGCAGTCAACAAAGAGTGTTTTCCGTACAAGTGTTCGAGTTGCATAGACTGATAAAGGTAAGGTGGTCCATGTTAAGTAGCTTCTTCTAGCCCTGCAATGGGTTTTGTTGAGTTTATGCTTGCTTGGAAAGACAGTGCCTTTAAAAATTCTCGTTCATACAGGTTCAGCAACTGATCGCAGGATCCCCACATCTCTTGCTTGAGGAAGAGGTTCGTCTTGCCAAACCTCCTCTGAAGGGCTCTCCTTGTAAGAACCTTCCATCAGAATGTGTTGTAACACCTCCAGTTCATGTTGCCAAGCACAAAGATAATTCAGAGAACCCAAACCATAAGATGGAATGTTCTGCAGAGAATGCAGTTGAGAAGACACCCTTCACTTCTGTGAACAATGGCCAGCCTCCAAATTTCAGGCCCCATGCAGGACTGCCAACAGTTCCTATGGCTGCTGACACCAAAATGGCTCCTTGGTGTTTCCATCCGTCTCCTGGACTTCAATGGTTAGTTCCTGTAATGTCCCCCTCAGAAGGACTTGTATATAAGCCTTACACTGCCCCTGGATTCATGGGATCGGGTTGTGGAGGATGTGGACCCTTTGGGCCAATTCCCTTGACAGGCAACTTTATGACTTCAGCTTATGGGGTTCCAACATCTCATTATCATCAAGGAATTGAGGTCTCACCAGGTGCTCCTCCAGTTGATAATGCTTGCTTCCCCCCATATGGCATGCCAGGAATGAATCCAGCCATCTCAGGTTCGGCAGGGTCTGGTTCCTGTGGTCAAACTGCTCAGTTTCCAGGAGGCATTTTGAGCTCGAACATGCCACATCAAAGCTCATGTAATGAACGGACTCAAAAGAGTGAAGCTGTTTTACAAGGTAAGAAGCTTCAGGCATCTAAAAACACTTCCGTACAAGGAAGTACAGGTAGTAGTCCCAGTGGCAGAGTGCAAGGGGTTGGGACTGTTCAGGCTGCTGATGGAAGAGCTGCGCTCCCACCTTTCCCAGTGACGACTCCTTGCCCTGAGGGATCCCCTCAGCATCAAGAGACAGACCAGCTGTCAAAAGTGATCAAGGTTGTGCCTCACAATGGTAGATCTGCTACTGAATCAGCAGCTCGAATTTTCCAATCCATACAGGAAGGGAGAAAACAATATGACTCTCTTTAGCCTTGTTTTTTTGTCTGAGAACTGTTAAGACACATCAGAGTTGCTAGTGGTTGGTTATTTGCTCCTCAGTTTTTTTATTGGTATAAGGTGTAATGTACTCCTCTTTTCAGACCTGATTGGAGGCTATTTGTACGTAGATAGTCTGTAAGAAACAGCGATGTAACATGAATGTGGTGGTCTTCATGCCATTGTATACTTGCGTGTACTGTGCTGAAATAATTTTACAGAGTTACCATGGATCTTGAAAAGGAGGGTACATTATGCACTGACGACTTCCGATTCTCGCTCACATAAAAAATATTGCATTTCTAAAATTTCCTTCTTTGAAGTTGTCTTCGCTGGTCACTTATCCAGTGCAGTGGTAGTCCTATCCTGTTTCAGAAACCAGGATTTGTGACATGATTTTGCGTCACTTGCGATTTAAGTAGCTGCAAGAGCCGAGACTTGCATTTTCTCACTTTTAAGGATACTGCCATGCCCAAATTTCACAAGCAAATCTGGTGATCTTCAATTCATACCACAAGTAATCTTCAAATTTGAGCGTAATCAGAAAGAGTAAACCAACAATCATATTGTTGAGGTTTATATTCAAAATAAAGTTGATTACGGATCAAAGGACTGCTGGATGAATCTCCTAAACATCTTTTCCAAACCATATTTAAAAGAAAAACGTTTCAAGACACTTATTTTTTAGGTTTATATTCATAAAACGTTTTGAAGACTTTTTTTTAAAGGTTTTCAGTACTCTCATGGACAACGATAGCTTTGACCTGGCCCTCCGAAGAAAAATGTAGCTTCATCATTTGCATTCCCTGCTTTGTAATTAATTGCAGAGTAGCAATTATATTCGTCTTGCCAAACGGCAACAAAGGTAGGGTACTTGTATGACTTAGAATAATCCAGAATCCTTGGCTGTCCAATGAAACATGCAAAACCATACAACTCGTCCGCGTCATATCCACTTCCCATGGCTGTCTTTGTGTGGGGAGTTTTCCTGACATTAACACTATAAACTTGTCCTCCCCATTCAACAGATGTGGCACTGTGTTTTAGCGAAGAGAAGAGACTTCCAGGCCAGTATCCAACAGCAATGTTTTGACATACCAGCCACCAATTGGTTGTGGTTGGATCCTATATGTGATTCAACAGATGAAACTTATGTCAATTGCAACATCATTAATAAATGTTTCAACGAAGATGGAAAAGAAAAGATTACTTCATTACCATGAAGATGTTGATTGGGAGAACATACTGTTGTTGAAATGAACTAGAACCGGGCTCAACAGCTCCACCAAGGGCAATTTCGGTGCTAGTTTGCACGAATCCATAACAAGTAAGGTCGAAGCAACCTGTTTTCTTGTATCCATCAACCTAACAGAAAATGAAAATGAAAGGGCATGAAAATTTTCAATAACTGATGTAGAAATGTTGTCGTCTGAACATTCTTCTGCAAATGTGTATTTTTCAGAAGAACTTACAGTCCAGTACACAAAAAATCTAGTCCGTGCATCACTATATTCTGCTGGGTGTACCTGGAAAGATTAGTAACATGGAGAGCAGAATAAGGACATCAAGCTATTTCAGAATAAAGATCACTAACTCGATAAGAACAACTGGAGGTTTCAACTATCCTATTGGTGGATGAACTAACCGTCCATCCTGCTTCCACGCTTTCAAAATTGTTTACTGCACCACTCTTAAGCCAGATTTGAGCAGTAGTGAATTCGGGTAACCTTTCAACACGTGGGTTCCAGACATTTATTTCTGCACTGGCTCCAACATAATTGTATCCGTATGTCAAAAGGATTGCGGTCTGGTTCAGGAAGAAAATCAGTTTTTAGTGTTAGACATCAGTATTATCATAGGGGCTGATACGGAGATGATTAATATAGTACATAGCATCAGAATCACAACAAAGAAGTGGATTTAATTGCTGTGTATGGAGCAGGAAAGTTTTCATAGCATCAGAATCACAACAAAGAAGTGGATTTAATTGCTGTGTATGGAGCAGGAAAGTTTTCATAGCATCAGAATCACAACAAAGAAGTGGATTTAATTGCTGTGTATGGAGCAGGAAAGTTTTCATAGCATCAGAATCACAACAAAGAAGTGGATTTAATTGCTGTGTATGGAGCAGGAAAGTTTTCAGTACAGGTGTGCAACTATCATCATAAACAAAAGCATGTAACTGATACTAGTCGAAGACCGAAAAAGAAGAGAATGCTCTTGATATTTAAAAATTTCATAGATATGATATATAAATTTGAGAGGTATATATAGAACATGCAAATTTTTCATTAGCATAAGATTAGTGTACATGCAACCATCAAGTTCATGGGTTTTAAAAGAACGCTTACAGAACGATTTTCTGGAGTAGGATAATGAATTGGGCCTTTGGTGTTGTTGAGGTGCATAAAGCGATCCTGGGTGGCTGTTTTGTTTGTTCCTTTGAGATGTTCAGGGCTCTTTCTCCCATTAGTTCTCAATAACTCCTGCCTTCGGATTCTGCGGATAGGAATAGTTCCCTTTGGACAACTACCTCTTTTTTTCCAAAGTTGAGACACAACCGGCCGAGAATTCTCGCGTTCTCCATTTGGAGTCTCTGTTGAAGGAATAAAACTAGGTTGCATCTGCATATTTTGTGAAGCTTAGAGATAACAGTTGACACTGTCTGGTGGATTTTGGAAGGAAGAAATGAATAATAGTAAAAACAATACCATACGCAAAGAACATGGATTTTCATGGAAGGATTCATGCCTTTTCTTAGTAGATTCATTAATCACTATTGCAAATTTAAGTACGAAAATGAAAGAGAAAGGTTTATGAAATGGAGCTTGGAGATTCACCTGAATAGTATGGTTTTTCAGAGCAGGATGATCAAAAGCAGGTTGCTTGTAGATATCAACACAAGCAATAATATCTCCATCTTCACTCTGCAAGAACAATACCAACTGGCAATACATTAGGCTTGCTATCCTTGCCTTAATAAGTAAAAAAAAACAAGGGGTTAATTCTATTTTGTGAAGATTCTAACATGCAAAATTGGAATAAACTCTTCCATGGATAGATGGGAAAAACAAGTAATGTAGATGACAACCACACAATAGAAAATAACTACTTAGGCATCACTGAAGTCGATCGAGGTTGTCAAATATAATCTTAATTGGTATTTTTATTACTGCATAAATAACTCTATCTATTATTTCTTTATAAGAGGTTTATATAAATCAAAAACTATTTTATAGGAAACCTGAAAATTTAAAAAAGAAAAGAAAAAAGAATTGAAGTTCTAAACAAATTAATAAAAAAATAAAATTATCAGTCTAATTTTATAAATTAAATAAGAAAGAAAAAAAATTATAAAGAGAAATATTTTTCTAAACTAAATAGAAAATAATAATCAATTAGCAAAATAACATCTTTTTAAAATTTATTTTGTATCAATCTCCCTTGGATGGAGTAAACTCGTCCTCAAATTTAAAATATTTTTACTTTAATTTTTTGAATGTTTAATCAAATAACTCTGATATCATTTAATACAGAAGAAAGCAAAAAATAAAGAAATTTATTATATATCAAAACCTTCAAAGATCAAAAACATTATAACTATAAAGAGATTTTTAAATATCTAATTTTATTCATTTATATCTTCACTTAACTTTGTCAAAAGCTATTACAACCTTTTATATATAAAAAAAATAAAAAAGTCTAATAATAATGAACAATAAAATAATAAAATAAAATTAATAAATAAAAATATTTATTTTAAAAAAATTCATGCATCATTCTCTCAAGTTGGAAAGAAGTCAACCTTGAGTTCATACCTCAGTCAACCACCGTTTTTTATGAACATCCTTTGTGTGTAGGTTATTTTATTATTGGTTTCTGACATAATATATTTGTATGAATTGTTTCATTTTGAGTTCCACTACTGAATTTTCAATAATAGCAACTCGACATAGGCAAAAACAAGACACTAAAAGATGACAAACTATAAATATAATCCTAATTGGTATTTTTATCACTGCAAAATATTTTTGATATGGTCAGTTTTTTTTTAATAAATTTATAATTTTTTAAATAAACTCAAAAAACAATCTAAACAGCTAAAAAAATAAAAATATAAAACTACCAATTTAATTTCTTAAACTAAATAAAAAAACCATAAAAAAATATTTCCCTCAACTAAAGCTCCGTTTATTTAAGCTTCTCAACCTGAGATTAAAAAACTCAGACAAGGAAAAAATAATGACTAACAAAAATAATTTCTCCCTGGAAATCTTGTTGCATCAACAAGCTAAAAAACTTGGACTAAAAGAAACAGTTTCTTCTCCAATAGGTGATATCGGGAGGAAATTTATGAAGTACAATACAATATTTAGCCCAAAGCATAAGCAGTGAGTACATGCAATCTTTTAGTGTAAAATCCAGATGCTTTTGTATAAATCCTAAATCTTGTAGCAAAAACCTCATCTCTAGATAAGATCCATCATACATTGAGACTCGATGAAGTGACATCATTTGAAAAGAAATTGATATGAAAGCAATTACGCTTCTGGGGGTGTTAGTATGAAAATTAGTTGATAAGAAGAAAGAAAATCATGTCAGCACTGGCTCATGATAATGTTTGGTTGAAGATAGTATAAATAACTAATTGGCATCATATACCTTAATGGTCTTGACTGCAGGTTTATTGAGAAGCTTTAACCTCCTATTGATTTCAGATCGATGTTTTCTAGCTTTAGTTTTGCCATTTACTCCATTGCTCAATATGCAAAGTAGCATCAGCAACACAAGCAAGGAAATTCTTCTCTCCATCTGCATGAAAATTCTGTTCTCTAGCTATCTGTTCCTCTCTCTCTTGCACTCTAAGATGAAGAACACGAATAGACTCTCTTTTCTCAGAGCAGAAGGAAAGACAGCCCCACAAACATATATAGAGGCATATGAACTCCCCAGAAAGGAAGTTGAAATTTGAAAACAGAAAAGACTTTTCAGTCCTGGAAAACATTAATTACATTCCAAGCTATTTCGAAAACCTTGGATTGTATTTCACTATGATAGCTTTTTCTTTCCATGGAAAGATTACCAAATTCTCCCGCTGTAGGATTTACGATAAAGATCAAGATTTACGTCCTTTGGACAGCATGTGATTTCCTTATCCTATAATTAGCCCTCTAAGTCTGCGTAATGTAAGTTTTTTGAGTCGGATTTCATGACGGAGTGTAGGAAGATAAAATTAATAACTAATAAAGGAAAATGCAAGGCAAAGACAAGACGAAAATGGACATATACAACATTTGGTTACTTCATGTTTTGAAAATACAAAAAATTATTTCAAAACCATCTATTTCATGTCTCTTTTTATTTCTTTAACCAAATATATTTTTATTTTTACTGTCTTATTTTTCCTATCCCAGGATAATAACCAAATGTTATTATCATAAAACTCCCAGATGCAAAACGGCATTTATTGGAGACATGGTCAAATTCAGTTTTGCTGTTGCAATAGAAACAAGACAGACATGGTCAAATTCAGTTTTGCTGTTGCACGTAGAAACAAGACAGGAACAACTGCATTCTCTGATTCTTAAAGTTCTTCTGCCAAGTGTTCTAAGAATATGATTTCTTCATGTGATTATGTTTTCTATTTTTAATTACAAGAATCTTTTTATCAACGGAAGAGTGTATGCATTTTACATTTGGCAAGACAGAACCTATCAGTTACAGAAGCAAAGAATCTGAAATAAGTCAATCTTCATCCATTCAGCGCGCTTGGGAATTGATAAGATATTTGTTGTTGCCACCTTTAACATTACAATCTTAATTGAAGCAACTAGGCAGGTCCAAATAAAGAAATTGCATGGTGCTCAAGTTACAGCGTGATTTTTTATGATCATCCATATTAAAACTAAAAGATAACGTGACAAGCTATAATTTATAGGATGCCATTAAATATAGCTTGAGTACAGTAAAATTTCTCTTCAAATGACCTGTATCCTAGCAGACATTAAAAGTTATGATCAAGGGCACAGGGGATTCTGACCAGGCCCTCCGTAATAGAACTCAGGATCTTCTATGTAATCACCAATATACTCAGCATCATAGCACCTGTACTCGTCCAAGAAAGTTGAGACCCACTCCGGGAACTTCAAGACTAGAGAATTTTCACGAATTCGCATTCTCTTGATGCAACCGGAATTTCCTGATACATAATCAGGAAATTGTCCATTACCCATAGCTGTCTTGGTATGGGGAGGATGCTCCAGTTTTGAGCTGTACACTTCCCCTCCCCACTCAGCTGTTTCTGCATTACCACGCAACCAAGCAAACAAGTCAGGTGGCCAGTAACCCAGATTAATTTTCTCTCCATACTGCACCCACCAGTTGCCTGTGTTCGGGTCCTAAAACAAAATAAGATAAAAGAGAGATATGTTTCAGATGACGGGGGTGACTGAGGTGGGGAAAAGGCCACCATCAACCAACAATTAACTTTTCTGACCTTAAATATGAAAAGGGTTATTTGATAAGGGAGACCAGAAGGGACTGAAAGAGGATATATCGCTGCACCAAGAGCAATTTCACCGCTAGTTTGAACAAAACCAGGACATGTAAGATCAAAGCAACCTGTTTTCTTTGATGCATCAGCCTGATTCCAGACAGAAGAGAAAATAGTGAATCAAGACTTGTGCTGGATTTTTCAAAATGGATGAGATTTTAACACTGTCACTTATTCATGAAGATAAGTAATGCTTCGACAAGCACATTTCTCTTGATTTAGAGCTTGCGTGCAACAAGATAGGCCTGGCTTGAACTTACAGTCCAATACACAAATAATCGAGTTTTTCTGTCTCCATAAACACTTGGATTTACCTGCAAAGTTGAGAAGTGTTCTGGAAAATCTGATTTTATGCAAGAAAAACTGAACATTGCACGGAGTCAACAAACAATATGCAGTTGTGTAGCTTTGAGTTATGTAAATCAAACACAGTACGAATTAACAGTGTTTTGCTAACCGCCCATCCAGCTTCGACACTCTCAAAATCATAGTAAGGACCACTTTTCAGACTAACTTGAGAAGTGCTGTATTCATCATCAGATTCAACATGAGGATTCCAAACTTTTATGTCTCCCTTAACCCCTGAATAACTATACCCTTCTGTGAGCAGTATAGCCACCTGATCAGCATAGCGCAAAATTAGATACCATTCAAGTAGAACACAATAAATGACATAGTTGCATGCTTAATTAGAAACGATGTTCTATACCGAGCGATTACTCTGCTGAAGGTTTGAGCTGATGTCTTTATTGATACGAGTAAGCCGAGGAGAATAACTAGGCTTCTTCCTTCCATAGTCTTCAAGTGAATTTGTTTTAAGCGGTACTTTCTGCGGTAATCTTCGGACTGGGATTGTTCCCTTAGGACAGCTTCCACTTTTCTGCCATAGTCGTGATGCTAAACTCATTGAAGAGTCTTGATTCTGCAATCTATTTGCTTTTGTTGCTGTTTCCTCTATATTTGGATCGTAACTGGGTGCCATCTGAATAAAAAATTGACTTGAAACAATTTAAGCTAAAAAAACAATCGGAGAAAAGGTCTTCTGCTAAAGTAAATAGTAAAAATATGACCTGGATGGTGTGATTCCTTAAAGCAGGATGATCAAAAGCAGGCTGCTTGTAGATGTCGATGCAATCTATAATATCACCATCTCCTCTCTACAGGCACAAATATTGTCAGTGATTGAATAATCTACCCGTTCCACTACAAACAGAAGAGAAGTCCCCAAATTTAGCAGGAAACTTGTACCTGAAGTCTGCTTACTGTGTTGCTTTTGAGGTGTTTTATCTTCTCTCTGACTTCCAAAATCTTCTTTCCCGGCATCAAGTTACACTCCCCGATCCCAAAACCAAAAATAATTATTCCCAACAGAATCACCATTCCTTCAAGTGGCAAACCGCGAGAACAGAAGCTTCCAGCCATTTCTTAGGGGAAAAAGTTACTTTAATCAATAATAAATCTTGGAAAAAAACAATGCTTCACACAATCCCCTGCCCCATTAATGATAAATGAACTTGAATGTGATGTAATCATCACTTGATGGTGATCAAATCATGCGGACATTCCAAGTACTTCCAAATTCAAAAGCACACAGAGTTAGTATGGTACACCTAATCATCCATTTTACGTTTCCATCATGTCATATGATATGCAAAATGTGAAACATGCATATACAGTAAGTTCTTGAAGAATATAATTTTGGAACATTCTGGGACCAAACCTGGAGGCTGTAGTGACCAACTTTTGAGATGAGCAATTAAGCTGTCAATAGCTAAACCTAACTCCTTTTGATATTATGTTGCAACTCTTTGGATCCCAGTATCTTGACTAAGTAGAAAGAACATTTCCCAGTACATACAATCCGGAGAATTTGACCATACAATCTTTGCCACTTGGTAATCAACACCATCATGATTCCCATCATCAAAACACGTAATTGTAAGGTGAAGTGCAGAAATCAAATTAGATCCATTTATGTTAATTATATCTTTTCTTGCTATTTTTCGTATTGTAATCCCATCAATTTATGCCAAAACCCAATCCAGAAAACATTTAGGCGTAATCCCATCAAGAACACTTGAAATCTTCAAACCAAATCACGGGTCCAACGCCTTTGGTGTAAAACTTCAACAACCTGGCAACGGTATTGAAAAACTTTGGAAATTGGCTGCAGTGATTTCAACAGCACGCAAAAATATTTAGCTGAAGTCTTGTTCTTTGTTAGTAGTTTCGAAATTCTTTTTGTATCTGGTTGAACTTTTTCGTAAATATATATATATATATATATATATATAATGGAATTCTCTATAGCACATTGATCAGAATTTTCAACTAGAGTCAGTTTAAGTCGTAGATATCCAGTTGGATCCTGTTTTTATCTTATACTGGTTTTTTTTCCTCGGCACAAGTACCATTCAAGTGTGTATTTATTATTCTTACTAGTTTTTATGAATTAATTCAATAGTTAATAGTTGAAAAATACAAAGTCTATGTATATTTATTAATCTAAACCATTTTTCTTCTAATCGCTTATATTCTATAACTGAAAACTCTGGAAAAAAACTCGATAAAAAGTAAAACTTGACATGATATTGGACCTCAAATATTTATATTTATATTTCAATATCATAAAATTAAAATGTTTTCTCCTACCAAAATTACTATTATATTAAAATATTTATGAATTATGTTTTATTAAAGAAGTCATCTGTTCAAATAAAATCTATATATAAAAAATGCATAAGGTGTATGGTGTGAAAAAAAAAATTATTCAGAATTCTTTAATTTTTAACTTGATAATTTTAGCATTGTAGTTTTTATGAATTCATTTATTTTAAAGAGTTCATCCTTATTATTTTTGAGTAAAATAATAAAGATAGATGCTTGAATAGAAATTTTGTGTTACCTTTTGACAAATGAATTCTTTTTTAATACTAGTAGAATTGGTCAAAAGGAATAAAACTTTTAATCTAAAAGAGTAAAAAAGATAACACAAGACAGTAACTAAGGATCCTCTAAAAAAACTAAGGTCTATATAATTCAATAATTTACTAAATTTTATTTATTTTAATTTTAATTATATATAAGGTGAATAAAAGTAAAGAATATAGGCATGAGTGAAGGTTTTATGAATCATTATTTTTAAAGGAGTCTTTTTAATAATAGGAATGATGATAAAAAGTGAAAATACAATAACTTGTAACCTTTTTTTTAATTTTTAATATCGGTATTTTATATTTTAGTAACATCTGTAAAAAAAAAACAAATCTTGAAAAAACTGTTCTTTTTCTTTCATCTAATTCAGTCAGAGATATCATATATATATATATATATAAGCTTTTAATTATTAGCTTTTAAACCTATTTTAAGCCTTTTTTAGAGTTTCCATAATCAAAATAAAGTGTCAATAAGATTCTACATATGCTAGTTGTGACTTTAGAAACTTATTTTATATTGTGTATAGTTTTATATGACATATAAATACCATATGTTGAAAAAAAAGATTAACCCTATGTTTTGGTCTTTTTCCTGCATAGATATAAAATTGAATATTGGCATCTATTTTATATTACCATACACAAAAAAAATTAAATATTTTCTTTATATAGAATAAAAGTATTTCTTAATGTTGGTGTGTAGGATTTTTTTTAAGATAAGACAATATGTTTTGTATTTACCATAAATTCCTTTTTACTATATAATTAAATATTGTTGTGAAATTAAATATTTCCACATAGAGTCTGTATTTTTATGGATAGTTTTGGATATGTTGAGAATATATAATCTTTTGTTTAAGGGTAGTAGAGAAATTCATCAATCTCGTACCTTTATCATTTTATTTTTATTTTTGGTGATATACCTATGAATGTATAACTCAATAAATAATTCTTCAAATCCCTAAGAGCTAAATTCTGTCCCTTCATGTCGAGGAAACTTGGTTTCCCTTTAATAGTGTTTATAATTTTAGTAGCTTCGGTGTCCGTGTGTTTTGCCACATGACTGCCCTAGGTTTTTTTTTTTTTTTTGTAAAAACTAATATTCAGATGCTGGAATAGGGTAAAAAAATATATAAAAAAAATTCATCACAAATCTATAATTATAGTGATTAGGTCGAGCTAACATGAAATATTTCGTTAAATTCACAGCAAGATAATTAATAAGACTTAAATAACCTGATAAAAAAATAAAAAGAATTACAACTTTTTTTTAAGAAAAAGTTCATATTAACTTTTTAAACATGTAATTCTAGTCATTAAACCTTAAATATTTAATATGAATAAATCATAAAGTTTAATTTTCAATCAATCAAATATTGATGAGTAAAAATTAAAAAAAAAATCAACTATATAAAAAGGATTAAAAATAGCAATTAAGAGAATGAGGATTAAGGTTAAAATAAAAATAAGTTTTTGTATTTAATTGAAGGGTGAAATTGAAAATAAAAATCAATTTAGTAAAAGAACAAAAAAAACTTAAAAAAAAAAGGGATCAAAATTGACATGGAAAAATCAAAACAATATCTTAATTGAAAGGTGAAATTGAAGAAAAAAATTAGAAAAAGACCAAGAAAAAAATTAAAATTAAAATAATAAGGACCAAATTGAAAAACATAATACTTTCAATTTGAATTGAATGATAAATTTAAAAACAAATAAAACTTCTATTAAAGGACCAAGGTAAAAAATTAAAAATCCAAATAATGAGGAATAAACTGAATAATATAATATTTGATAATTTTTTATTGAATGATGAAATTAGAAACAAAAAAACTTTCTTAAAAAAAATCAAGGCTAAAAATTAGAAATAAAAAAATAAGAATTGAAGTTAATTTACCAACAATAAAAATAGCCAAGTTATAATTTTAGAGAAGTGAGAAAAAAAAAAGGCTTCATAACAAACTGGACTACCATTGAAAACATGTATTATACCAATATTAAAAGGATACAGTGATGTTTCCAACAACAGAGCAAAATGATATTTTTAGATGTCGGGAGGCGCCGCATGCAATGCATTAATGATGTGGGTGACTCTTATCCGTGTGTTTTTTTTTTATTTAAATACCAAAATGCTCTTACGTTAACTTTGTAATTACAAAAGAAAAAATCATTGTGACAAGACCAAAAGGCCCCTTAACTCAAGGTTTTCTTTTTAAGAGATATTTTAATCGTTTTACTATGCATTTTAATTATGTATTACTTTCTTATATTTTGAAAAATACCTAATTGCTTCAACTCACATTATAATAACCAATAAGACATTGTGAAAAGAAAAAAAATACTTTTTAACTCTATTTTTTATTTCTAATGATATTTTGATCTATTTAATTGCGATGAGAAAAAATCACTTATTCCTAATAAAATTTGTAATGATTAATGCTCTTAAAAACTAGGGTTAAGTTTTTTGAGTGGAGGGGTAAAATCATCATATTATTCTAATGAAAAGCAACCCTAGTGTTATAGTGTTTTTTTTAGGGGTTTTAATTTATTTTAATGTTACAAGTTTCTGTTTTATAAATTTTATTTTAGTTTTATTTTCTTAAGAAAAGAAAATAAGATTTTTGTTAACAAAATACTAAAAAAGCTAAGCAATTTACTATCTTAATTATTGTAAGCCTCAATTAATTGTATTTTGGATTTGCATAGTACAACTCTTTTTTTTTTATCAATGGAATTTCTTTTCTAATTTGACCGTTTCATGTTGATTTCATTTTACATTGACTTTGACTATTTATTCCAATAAGTTAATGTGAGTTTCTCATGTGATTGAAAAAGCATTTTGTCATTGGGTTGATACTCTATTTTACGATAAATTGTTCAAATTTTTTATTTTATAAAAGATTAAAACTAAATGAATTACAATAAGAGAAAGAATAGGATGATGAAACCCCATTGTAGCTATATAACCAACACATGTTGCCAGGAAAGAAAGCCCCTATTAAGAGGAAGAATTAGATTATGAAGCCCCATCATATCTCCATAGCCGACACATGTCACCATGAAAGGAAGCCCCTATTGAGATGATTTCAGCGCACCAAAAAAGATTGTTTTTGAAGCTAGGAGAAAGCCACATATACCACCTCCAATACAACAACTACTCTCACATGCGCAAAATAATTTTTGCTTTCTTCGCTTAATTTAATCTGTATTTTATAATAACTTTTCATTTAAGTATTAGATTTAATCTCATCTAAGCCCAAAGCTTTCTTTTTTAATTTAGTTTTGAATTCTCCCGTAACTCTTCAATTTAATTCTAAATTCATTGTATTGAGGCCCAAAAAAGGCTCATTTAAAATGAGAATAAAAAAAGACAAAAAAAGAAAAATAATTAGTCAATTGGGTTAACATAAGTTGTAAATTTGATAATTAACCCTGATTGACTAGAGATGATTTAATATATTAACTTCTTAATATTAAAAATAAAGATTTCATCTTAATTTTTTTAAATTAATTTGTAATTTTAATAATCACCTAAGTTGTTTTTAGATATGAAAAATCAACTTTACCATGTTGTTATAACTTTAAATAATGAAACTTGAGTTAGGTAAGGAATAAAAATTTAAGTAATTTAACTGGATTGAAATAAAATTCTCTACAATCTATTTATTTTTTTACATTTTAAAATAACCCAAAGTTCAAACATCGTTGTATTATATTTTTTTTAAGTTAAATTAGGTTACTGAATAAATCACTATTTTCATAGATTTAGTGAAATTGCTTGCAATTTAGAAAGATAATCAATAACATCAATAGTAAGCAATTTAGAAAGATAATCAATAACATTAATAGTGTTGGATGTTCTTCCAAGAAACAACCGATCCTTTTAGTGATTTAGACAAGAAAGAAAGCCCTCGCAAATTTTCAAATTCGGGCTACCTATGTGGGAATTGATTGCATCTTGTGCATAAAGATGAGTCTGAGTCATCGCAAATCAATGAAAAAATGAGTCACGCTGCCAGGCCCTAATGAAGAAAGATCCAAAATGATTTGTCGGTGTCAATCTCCTCCATCTATCTATAAACAATTATTTAAAATGAGAAAAATTCCGACTAATTCTTCTAGGGATTTTCATTTTATTACAGTGTAATTCATGAATTTTCATATGTTAACTCTGGTACTTTAATTCTTTAGGATGTGACTTTTCATAATTATCGTAATATGATTAGAAAAAACACAGGGATTGTATATAAACAAAATAATACTTCAATTTTCTTAAAAATTAAAATAAAAAAAAACTAGAATTTTCTATTAAAATACAATATTTTTCCATCTAAAAAACTAGTTTTTTTTATTTTTTAATATGCATCGGGCTTTAAAAATACATTTTAAATATTATTCATAGTTTTTATTCCCAAGTTTTTTATTGTTTTCTGAATGAAAAAAAGACATGAACAATTTTATTTTTATTTTTTACACAAGCTCCTTTTAGATTATTTTTTATATTTTCATATTGAGTTAGTTTTATAGATGTAACTTTTATTTTAAATGTAATATAAATATGTTTTTAATAAAATGTGCAAGAGTCTTGTAATTTTTAAAATAGTGATAAAACTTCAGGATGCACTCTAAGTTTTTTTTAAAAAATTATATTAAAGGGTGTTCGGTTACGTGATTATTTCTACATTTAAAATAACTACATCAACTCACTTATTTAGTACAGATTTGCAAGAAGTATCAAATTGCTGCTTTTTAAGCTAGAAAACTAATGAAGAGTGGAGCATGTTGCACTATTCATGGGTTTTTTTTTTATAAATAGTGGAGCATGCTTTACTGTTCTGGCTAGATCGATCTGGTTCAATGTTAAAAATACATTGAATCGGGTTTGATCTAACAAAATAAAAAAAAATATTTTTTTTATTTTTAATTATATTTTATTTGAAAAGCTAGTATTAAATATTATTCAATTATACTACATAAATTAAACGGAGATCGCTTGATGATGTAATATTTGCAGAATTTTATCGCAATCTCAATTTTATTCCTGATTATATTTTAACTATGTTGTAGCGCTTTTAAAAAATTTAGTAAAACAATAAAAAATATTTTATATAAAGTATTATTCATTTCATGATATAATAGTAATAGTTAAATCTATAATGTTTAAATTAAAAATCATTAATATTAATATATATTTTTAAAAATTATTTTATAACCTCAATTTCAAAAGCATTCTTAACCAAACACATTAAATTATTTTTTCTTCAATCTTAATTTTAATTAAATATCTATTTTTTCAAATTAATACTAATTAAAAATAATTTTTATAAAATAATTTTTTTTAAATGATAACCGTAACAATTATCACAGTACAGTATACTCTTAGTCATATTTCATGTTAACTCCGCCTTCCTGTCGCCGCTGCCTCCACCAGGCGCCATCCTGCTAGACTAGTTTTATTTTGATCATTTAATAGGCATTATAAAAAGAAATTTGGATACAAAAATGACACCATCCTAGTAATTCGGTTGTATATTTGATATTTGCTCTAAACGTGGTTATAAAAACCTTAAAAAAAATTATAATATACTAATTTTTCTTTTATATTTATATTTTAAATTATTTTAATATACTAATTTTAAAAATAATTTTTAAAAAATAAAAAATATTATTTTAATACATTTCATTATAAAAATTACTTTAAACAACAATCACGTTTACAAACAGTAACTCACCCGCTCACTCACAGTACAAAGATAATAACAGCAGAAAGGGAGAGGGAGAGAGAAGAAAGAGAGCTTGGTTTTGACGCTGAAAGGGAGAAAAAATGGTGAATCATATGCTAATGATAACAGCTGATTTCGAGAACATCGCTAGCCTCCAGCCTCAAGGCGGTTGCGATGATCCTGATTTCTCTTACTTCTTCAAGGTCCACTCTCTTTCTCCTATCAATTTTTTTAACACTTGAATTAACATATGTTAGGGTTTCTTACTGTATCTACTTCTTCAGATTCTTGTTTGGTTTTTTTTTTTTGCGTGTGGTTTTTATCTGCTTCCGCTATTTCTAATGTGAATAATTAGCACAATCAGCGGTTATTTCCGGTTTACGATTCTTTACTTTAAATCCTATACTCTTTACTGTTCTTAAGTTTTGTGTTTTTGGTGCATTTTTGTGTATTTTAGTGGTTATTATTATGTGTGGTTGTTATTTAAATCTGTATTGTCTTTCATTTTACTTAAATTGATGTTTGTTTTTTGTTACTTTATTATACTTTTGAACTTGTTTTTTGATATCCACCTGGTATCAGAGCCTTGTTAGCCATGGGTTAGGGATGGAATGTGAGTCTAGTTCAATTTGTTTTGGTTTTTCAAACGGGTGGATCTAAGCTCATAGGAGTGGTCCGGGTAGCAAGTCCGAGAATGCATTGAACCCGTTGGTTTAGCTCTAATCTTGCAGGAGATCATGTTAGGGTAGCCCAAAAGAAACAACAAGATGTACTCGTACTTTAGAGCTTCTTCATCCCCCGCCTGTAATATCACTGGCAATAGAGTGATCAACCAAGAAGAAATAAATACTGAGAATTTTAGCAAAGCCATTGACAATTGAGAAATTCCAAAAATTGCTCAAAAAGAAATCTACGACCATAGCAGTTTCAATTTCTTTGACAAAATGGATTGCATCATCAAAACTGAGGAACATGATATTACTCTGTTCAATGATTATGAAACCATTAGAATTGTCTCAAAGTTCTATAAATCATCATAGTAAGAAATACAACTTTATCTATGTAGGATTTATTTCAAGTTGGTGTTAGGACTTGATATTGCAATTCTTATGGTTCTTAGTAGGTTCCTAGAATTCAATGATTCTTTGTTAGTAACCATAGAGTCCAGTCTTTTACAGTGGACCTATATATTTTAGATGTGTTGACCCTACAAATCACGACTCACAATTACAAAATTCAGAGTGGATTCTTACCTCTTTTGTTAGTCTGGCATGCTGATATTTGATACTAGTACAATACCAACCAATTTTGCTATATAAGGAAGCATTCACTTCCCAAATCTCAAGAGCACATTAGGAGAATATTCCATCCTCTTCTAATCTCTCAAAACTCGGAACCTCATTTTCTTCTACCAAAATCCCCTGAAAATAAATATTATCAAATTTGGTACTATATTCGTAAGTGTTCAATCCTGTGTTCAAAATCAATTTGTTTGCTTTTTATTTCAACTTTATTTCAACTGCATATATTTGCTTCCAGTGGCCTGCTCTGTTGCCCAATTCTTTTTTATTTACTTCAATCGCATAGATTTGCATGTAGTGGCTGGTGCTGCCACCTAGATTTTATTCGTTTGTGTTAACTTTCATCAATTTATTTTTTTTGTTTGCTTTATTATCTGATATCAAAGCTGGGTTGGAATGGGCATCATTAAGTTGTAAGATCTGAATCCACCAATGGGTAGCCTAAGTCATAAGACCTAGTGGGCCCTCATATAGGACATCCAAAGTGAGAGACGTTACCTGATTTGTTCTGGGCTAAAAGGATTAAGAAGTGCCTTCACTACCAGCTATAGCTTTTAGCAAAACCATGATGTTGTCCAATTGGTATCAGAGCCACTAGGGTTCAAGTCTTGCTTGGGAGGAATGTGCAGCATTGAGTTGTAAAACCTGAATCACCAATAGATAGGCTAAGTTGTAAGACCCAGTGGGCCTCCCACATACCTGATAGACCTTACTAGGTGGATGATAAAGTAACAAAGAAAATAAATTGATGAAAATTAAAGCAAACCAATAAAAATTAGGCAGCAAGGCCATCCATTAGATGAGAATGTATGTAATTAAAGAAAATAGGGGATGCAACTGGATGTAATTATGCAATTGAAATCAATCTTGGTACAAGAATTCTACATAGAAAAAAAATTACTGTTGAGGGTTGTTTGTTATTGTAGAAGTACTTGAACATCAAAAAATTTGTCTTCTAGTGCCCAGAAAAATTATTTTCTTTTTTACCGAAAATGATGATTTAATGGGACCAAAACTTCTGCATCTAGTTCACAATTTGTAAATGGGTCATTAGATTCATGTGAAGAATTGGAGACAAAATCTGCCAAAATATCTTGCATAAGCTAAACATAATCTTCTTTGAATTTTTCTGCTTCTAGCAGTGCATTAATTGAAGATTTTTTTTGGAGAGAATGATTGGTTGATACTTAGATGGTTTTAGATAATTGGGGATTTTTCAAAATCCATGCACAGATCCATAAAATACTAAAATTATAACAAAATTGGAGAAGTCTTGGAAAAGATACTTTCTTTGGAATTGGTTGAAATTTATTGCCAGAAGTTTGATATCCTTCTGGAAGAATTTCTAGTTTGGTTCCAAATCAGGACCGCCATTAAATGAACCAAATTGGGAATTGGATTTTTGTTCTTGATTTTCAGTAAAACATTCAAGAGTGCTTGAAATGTTGATTTTGAATTATAAAGGTATTAAACTAGAATCCCAAAAATTGAATGTTGGGTTGCTTTTTAGCTTCGTGTTATTTTGGTTAAAAAAATTTGGTATGCTTTTGTTCACTCTAAGGAATGAATGGGTTACAAAATTGGAATGGCCTTTTTGTGTACTGTGTTTGATTTTGACTGGCCCAATTTTGATATATTTTCATAATAATTTCAAGACTTGCTTATATCTCAAGCTTTGAAATGCCAGGTTGGAGGGAAAATATTTTTGGTAAAAAATCCTTGGATCGTTATGGTAAAACCCATGTTCTAGTAGAAAATCTTTTGAAAATTTTGATTTGAAAAATATTGTTGAAAATTGTTTTATTTCTGAAAATTATCTTGAGGGGTTTTTGAAGTCACCACCTGAAAACAGTTCGAAGAGGGGTATTTGACTATTTGGAATTTAAAACCATCACACCCTTTGGATTTTGAAAGATTTTGATAAACTGATTTTGATTCATCAAGTTCAAGATTACTTGTTTTGATAGAAATTTGTTTCTCATGCCATGAGGAATCTTCTTTTGTTTTAGCAAAAGAAGACAATAATTATTGGAGTAACAATTGGGCTTTTAACAGAAGAACATTTATTGTACCTATGTCCAACAAGTGTTTGGGTATTATTTGGTATGGTCGAACAAGAGGCTGAGGAACTGGTTGAATTGTTAACTTCTGGTGAAGAAATTTCATCTCCATCAGAAATCATTTGAGCCCATGTTTTGACTTTTAATCTGCTTTTTTTGGATTGCGAGGGCATAATGCCCCTTCCTTTGCTTTGTTGTTTAGTTCGCATCAGGTCATCTTCCTTGCAAAAACTAGAAGTTTGGAAGGGAATTTGAATCTCCTTTGCTTTTACATCAATCTATTTGGGTCATCCATATATATTGTATAATGTTTAGAATTTTTATGGTTTTTCGTTTCTATCTTCTGTTCCTTTTTTTATTGACTATAGTCACTAGTGAGATCTGCTAGGTTGTTTGTTGATTTATATATTTATTTATATGTTTTGCTTGTTGGAGATGTAGATTAAATGTGGAAGGTGTGGAGAGGTGAGCGAGAAAGAAACATGTGTGACTTTGAATGACACTGTTCCACTTCTTCAGGGAAAGGGAACTGCTCATCTCATTCAGAAGGTAATCTTTTGTTTCATTGTTCCTTTTATTTTTGTAAAATCAATCACACAAGCTCATGTGATTAGCTAGTATTGGAATTGATTTATTGAGATGGAGAGTTTGTTTAGTTCATGAAATGATGCTCTGGTTGGTTGCTGGGAACGAAAAAGGGAAAGTTGTGATCTTGAAAGTACAGCATTTACCATGGTGTTTCATAGTACGGCTCTGTTTATCTTGATTCTATGTTTTCTTGTTTTTTATTTCAGGTGTAATGTGATTCAAACATAGCTAGGACTTTTGTTATTGATTTCTTGTCATGACCATTTCACCTTTGCAGCAACAAAAGAAGCTGTTTAAATTTCTTGATTTATTTTTAGTCATTATCTGTAGGAAATCTTGTGAGAATTTTTAAGCAACAAGATGTTATGATTTAGGTTCTTGAGTTATGTTTAGTCGTTATCTGTAGGATCAAGTCTTGTGAGAATTCTTAAGCAACAAGATGTTATTATTTAGGTTTTTCCTGGTGTTTTATAATTAGTGGCTATGGTATTAAGCTTTGGAAGTATTTAAAATTTTAATCAGGAAACAGGGTAGTATGTATTTGAGCAAAATAAAGCAAACTATAATTAGAGATGTGCATTGAATGATCCTTGTTGTGTGAAAAGCAAATGAATTGCGTAAATTGTACTTGCTGTTTCATAATGATTGTGACTATTTATATGTTGTAGGTTTGGGGAATAGATAGTAATAGGAGTTATTTGCTATATCTGCTTGCTTCTGTCCTTGGGCATCATGTAATGGCAGTATTTCGTATGAAATATCATCTTCAAATGCTGAATGATGATTCTATGAGCCTTTTTTTTTCGTGAACAGTGCAAGTTTTGTGGGAGGGATGGAACTGTGACAATGATCCCAGGCAAAGGCAAACCACTGACCCAGGAACTGAGTGAGGGAGCAAAATATGCCCCATTGATGTTATTTGACTTCAGAGGTTATGAGCCAGAGGGTTTTGTGTTCAGTGGTGCATGGACAGCTGAATCTGTAAGTTTCTGTTCCTGAAACTCTCTTACTGAACATTAATCATTCAAAAGTATGGATAGTTTTGTGGATTTGTGAAGTAAAGGACAATGTGACTCAGGTGCATTTCTTTTGTTTAATCCCTTGGAATAATAATGGATCATTAAAGGAGGATTGGGATCGAATCCAAGCCATTGGTTGAATATCAACAGTTATGATTTCATTCGTACGAATTATTACAAATTAGTGCATGATTATAAGTTTTTTTTTAAATGGTATTTACTTTATTTTGTGAAGAAATCCTAACCATTGATTTCAAATCAATGGCTTGGATTTCATGAACATGATCTATTGTGTTCCTTGATCCAAATCCATTAAAGGAATACTGTGCTCAAGCTTATTTCTCCATCATTGCTGGGCCGAAGGAGCATGCACTTACCATTTTACCATCAGACTTCTTATTTGCAATGCTATTTTGCTTTTTTCCCTTGGTTGGCTTTGAACTTTGTGCTGCTTGTGAACATTCAAGACCCGTTTGCATTTAAACATTCTCAAACTGGGATACATTTATATGGATGAAAGCTTTATATCCAGGGTGGATTTGAAAAAAATCTGATCTATCTCGGTTCCCATTACTGAGTTGCAAACTGGCAACTGATAAGATGGAGAAATTTATCATGCATTGTTATAGAATGCAAAACCATGTGTTCAAGCTAGATATGTAAGGGAATGGAACTGGTAGGCATAACACATTAGTGTATTCACCATTTTATCAAAATCTTAAATTTGACATATCTTTCGTCGTTCAAAATAGGTTTACATGCTTGGTGAATGCCAATGATTTTAAATACACTTCATGTCGAAACTAAAGGTGGACCCTCTTCCCTCTCTGTTTACAATGAATTGCATGAGATGCACCTGTGTATGTGTGTTGAGGTGGGGTGGGAGAACAACAGAACAGAGTGGTAAACAACAGGTTCAAGAACTTAAAGAATGGAAAATTACTTTTTCCAATCTTTGGTAGTTGAAATTTGGAATCATTATACACCCTACAGGCTACAGAACAAAAACTGGTAAGATTTAAATGAAACCAGCTACTTTCTATCCAGCAGATGGAACCACAAACATTTGTTTACTTTCTTTGTTAAATAACTGGTGTGGCTCTTGTGATTCTTATTCTTTTATTAATAGATGAACTTTGCACTACATGTCTTGAAGTGTTCGGTGTCTTTTCCTTTTCTTGATAAATATTTCCAACTTATAGCAAGTCATTTTTGCAGATTGCAGGGACAAAATATGAAGACATTGACTTGTCTGGAGAGGACTTCAACGAGTATGATGAGAAGGGAGAGTGCCCAGTCATGATATCCAATCTCCGTTCCAAATTTGAAGTGGTGAGGTAGAATGGTTGTTTTTCCAGATGCACAGTCCTGGTAAATAAGAGCAATTAATCTCTTGCTGATGAGGTAGAAAAATCATTTGACTACGGTAAATATAGTGGCCATGAGACCAATGTCTGGCAGCGGATTGATGCGCCATTTCTGAATTATGGTTGATTATCTGCCAAATTATCAATGAATCACACCATGGTTGACGCTTGTGAAATGCGTTTTTTGGTTATATTTTTCCAATAATGTTTATGATTTTCTTTGATGCCTATTGATCTGGGCATGCGGGCCAACAAAATTTATTGGGTCTTAACTCAGCAGGGAAACTCAGCTGAATTGTCTCGAGTGACAAATTTTCTCAGCACCATATTTTGCTGGGTGCGGAAAGGCATGTGGAATCCGTGGCGTGGCTTGTGGCTTGTGAGAAATGATTACTGTTTAATTCTCTTGCTGAGTTCCTGTTAAGAGTCTTGCCGAAATTTTATCCCATACTTGATTATATTTTTATTATCATTATCTTATGTTTATCGCTCGATAGGAGATTCGCGACTGGCTGGGGTCTGGCTGAATTTTTTGTAATGTAAAAGAGTGATGCTTAAGTGAATGGAAAAAAAATTCATGATTTGATATTATAAAAAGAAAATTTAAAAAATTATGGTTATCAATCCTTAAAATTCTAAATATATAAGGATAAAATTAAAAAAAATAAACAAATAAAAAACTAGCAAATCCAGATAAGATATTTAAAATTTACAAGTGTATCATGTAAATGTGGAATAATCTAATGGAATGTAAAATTATGGGGTGGCCTGTAACCTGAGGTTTAGAGCAGGTTGAAAAAAAAATAAACAAATAAAAAACTAGCAAATCCAGATAAGATATTTAAAATTTACAAGTGTATCATGTAAATGTGGAATAATCTAATGGAATGTAAAATTATGGGGTGGCCTGTAACCTGAGGTTTGAGGTTTAGAGCAGGTTGGTTTTTTAATAGAAATTTAAGGAGAATTAACTTGGTATGAAATGTCAAAAACACGGGTTGACATGTAATCTGGTGAATTTGTGGTAGACATGGTCAAAATTTATCTAATGTTTATTTTTATTTTATTTTAAATAATGTTATTTTTTTAATTTTTTATAAAATAAAAATATTTTTTAAACTTGAGCTAACTTGAGTTAACTCACTAAACACGTAACCCTGCACTTGTAATGAATTAACTCTTAGATCAACTCCTAAAAAATAAAAGGATAGCATAAAATTTTGAATTAAATGGAAAAAATCAAAAAAATAAATCAAATTAACAAAAGAACTCAAGACAAAAAATATAAAAATTAAGATAAAGATTATCAAATTTGAAAAAATAAAAAACCAAAGATTATGGATCCAACAATGAAAATAAAAACAAATTAAAATCTAATACGAGGGTTAAGAATCAAAATTTAAAATAAAATATATTGAGATCTTAATCTTAAATATCATCAAATTTTAATTTAAAATATAAAATTGAAAAGAAAAATCAAATCCATAAAAGAACCCAAATTAAAAATAAAAATTAAGATAATGAGTACCAAACTTGAAAAAATTAAAAATCAAGATTATGGATCTAATGATAAGATTTAAAAAAATTAATAAAAAAAATAAAAATCAAATTTAAAAATTAAAATATTAAGGGTCAAATATAAAATGTTATAAATACAGGATAGAATTTATTTTTTAATGGCCAACATGAAATTTAATGGGGAGAAGAGAAAAGGAAGGGAAATAAAAGAAACGAACAACCCATAGCCGCAAATGTAATGTGCTTCGCCCCACATGAAAGAGGGCATCGTGAAGCTTCAAGTGTCGTAACAGAAGTTGGTGTTATTCCATTTGATGGTGGCTCAAGCACTGTTCAAAAAGTATGAAGACACTTAATATAAAAACATATAATCTCATTTTTTAAAAAAATAAAAAAAGTTACGATTCCTATAAACCAACTCAATAATAACTAAAAAACCTATAAAATGATAAATTTAGTAATAATATTTAAACCTTTATGAAAAGACAGACTTACCTTCTTAGCGAAGCAAATTATTATTATATTACGAAGCAAATTATTATGATAATATAGTAAATCATGTTAGCATGCATTAGAAAACTTAAGGTTTTTTTGAAAATATAATGGAGGTTGTTTCTTAAAATATTTTTTAATTATAAATATATTAAAATAATATTTTTATATTTTTAAAATTTATTTTTTATATTAACACATTAAAAAATCAAAAAACATTAAAAAAATTATTTAAAGTTAAAAAAATAAAAAAATTTAAAAAACACGTTAGACTGCAATGAGATATTTTTAGAATTTTGTATAGTGTATGCAATTATATTAGCTTCAAGTAGGATGGTTTTATACGAAGGGTCGACTTGTTCCAGCAATATTCTAATGAGATTCTCTGGAGAATTTATGTGCTAATGTGAAGAGGATAGGCAATTCTTCATAAAGGGTTACGGTCACAGCACACGGTGGTTATTATCAACTCTAGCAAAATAGGTTAGGCGTCTCTTCCTGCTGTTTTTGAGATTGCGAAGTCAAGTTCGAGTGGCAGACATAGGCATAGCACCACCTAGCTCACCTTCCCTCCCTAAAACGCTAGGATGTCACCACCTAGCTCCTCTGATGCATCCCGCCACTATTTTTTATGACTGGTGAGCAGTTAAAGTGTGGTCAACCCTGCTGGCTCGTGGATGGGATAACTTCCTTACGTTATCTATCTCAATTAAATTGATATTTAAAAAAAAATTAAAAAAAAGTTAAGATAACATAATTTTTTTTAAATAGTTTAGATTTAGTTTTGACTATAAGGTGAAATATCCTGCTGGGTTATTCTAGTTTTATCGTATCGATTTTTACTCTCTCTCTCTCTCTCTCTGTCTCTGTGTCTGTCTCTCTCTCTCTCTCTCTCTCTCTCTCTCTATATATATATATATATATATATATATATATATATATGACTCGTATAATTTTTTATTTTGGAACTGGTTCTGATGATGTCGATTTGTGTGGTTTGGTAAATTGTGGAGATTCTTGTTTTACATCACCACTACTTGTCAAGAAAATGATTAATTTTCTCTCTAAAACGAGGACATTTTGTTTCTTTTGTTTGTTGAAACTGTTAGCATTTTCAGTGATATACTAGGTTAGTATATAAATTGAAAAATAACATGAATAATAATATACTAAATTAACTCTGATTTATTTGTAAAATATGTGATTTGAATTGTAAAATTATGATAATATTATAAAAAATAAATTAAAATAAATTAATTATATATAAACCAAGCTGAAATATATCAAAAAAAATCAATTTAAAATAAACTAAATGCTTTAAAGATATTGAAATGATATTATATTATTTTTAAAAACTTAAAAGATAACAAAAATCAAAAGATAAAAAAATATAAATATAATGCTTGGGCTCTGGCCAACGAATCCTGACCTTTAAAAAATTGGCCTAGATCTTCGAGCTCAAGCCTTTGTATTTTGGCATTATTGTATTTTTTTTAAGGATGAACAACCTATTATTAACCTCTATTTTTTGTTAAAAAGCAAAAACCATATGACACACTATCTGATCAAATTTTGAATACCATTGTGATGTGAAAACACTAAGGACACGTTTTTTTATACAAAAAATTATTTTTTAACTTATTTTAATATAAAATGCATAATAAACATTTATATATCACTCAGCAAACCAACTCATCAATCCAAATAATATTTAAAAATATAAAATCAAATCAATTAAAGATTTTCTCTTTCAACCCTAATCTATTTTTTTAAGGTAAGATTGAGGTTCAAAACAATATCTATAAAACCTTTTTGTTGAATGAAATATCCTGACACAATATTGTGCATTTTTATTATTTGAATGTAACTAATTGATGGCTTTCGTCAAAACCTACTTATTTTCTCTATCTTTTCTCACTTGTAAAGATTGAAATGTAAAAAAAATAAATTTTAGAACCAAATTTAAAATGATAAAAACCATGGGGACTATAAAAGTAAGAAAAGAAAAGTGTGAGGATGAAAAAGAACTTTTCCCCTAATTTTGCATTGACTATGAGTTTCGTTTTATATTTCGGTTACCGATCATTTAATTTTTTATCTCTTAATAATTGTTGAAAAATTAGATGTTAAATTGAGCGCACAAAGATATAATTAAAAAAAATTGAGAACGAATTGGAAAAAAATCTTGGGTATATTTCCGCCGTAATTTAGAAATTAGTTGTTATGAAATATGACATTAATTTCTCGTAAAACCAAAATTAATTGTCATTGGCCAGCTCAAATACAAAGATTTCTCTTAAAACAAAGAAAAGATTACTTAAAAATATTTTGTGAGTGTGGTTGGAATATATTATTTAAAGATTTTGAATTTTCATTTCAAAAGTTTAAATTAATATTTTTAAGTTTTTTATGTACGAATAAAAAAATATGTATATATATTTTTTTTTTTTAAGTTTTTTATGTACGAATAAAAAATATATATATATTTTTTAAAAACAAATACTTAAAAAAATACAAACAGCGAAGGGTAGGGACGAAGCCGAAGCCGAAGCTAAAGCTAACACTCTCGCTTCTATAACCATTTGCGTGACAAAACATTCTTAAAACCCCCAGATTTCACAGATCATCAATCTCCCCTTCCTTGCCTCAATTTCACTCAATCCCATGCACACATAAGTCCCTCCCTCCCTCCCTCCCTCTACTCACTATCCCGGAGTCAGAGAGGCCCCACTTCTCTCTCTTGCCACCAGACTTTCTATTTCCTTTTGTCCACCTCCGTTAGCCAGTCTCGATCTCTCTCTATCAAAACTCAATATTGGCGTAATTGAAGCACTGAACGAAGCAATAAACAATCCTTTGGACCCCGCTTCATTTTGCACCACTGAATAGCAACATGGTATGTCCACAGCCTTCTTTGAATGTCTAGAACCCCATGTGCTGCAAACTCGGATTTCAACATAGCATTATCTTGTTTGTTTCCTTAGCATTAGGTTTTAGATCTGTGTTGGTTTTTGTGTGATAGAGCTTGGTACCATAAATTGAGCTAACTATTTCTCTTGAAAGATACAATCTTGGAGTTTTGGGGCTCTTAGTTGGAGATAAAAGTTAATTTCTTTTATAGTTTTTCGAGGTTTGAAAGCAATTTCAATGCCAAAAGGGTGTGTTTAGATCAGATCCAGAAGGTGAATTCTCACTATAAAGATGCAGTCAAGAGTTGTTCCATTGGAGGAAGGGAAGGACCCTGCAGTTTCAATCAAAGCAAGCCAATCCAAGCCCTTTCCAATAAGGTTACTTCAATTATTTTTGCTGTTTTTAGCTCTATGTATGGCCTTTTCGATCATCAGTATGTATACAATCAAGCGTTTTGGAGTTCAGACTGCAAGGACAACTGTTAAGCCTGCCTTTAAGCCTTGC